AAGGTTTAAAAGGTGAATAAATATGAAAGTTGTTAACTATCTTTCAGATTATTTTTATGTAGATTGATAAATCTTAAGTTCTGTCAAATTAAATTTCTGAACGCAACCATAATATTTGACATTTGTCAACTAAGTTTATTTTATACAAAAATTTAGGTCTTTTATATATCGATTGGGGCAGTACGAAGTCTGCCGGGACAGCTAGTCCATAATAAAAAAATTCATCGAAATCGGATGATTTTTCGATTTTCTAGAGCCAAAAAACGAGGGGACCGCGAAAGTATAAAATTACCAAAAATAGTGATGATGGTATTGGGTTTTTACGAACGCAAAATTAAAATTAGAATTAAAATTAAATTAATAAATTTCTCGTATAGTAATTATTTAATCACCGCTGACCGTATTGGCTTGCCTTCATCCCTTAGACTATTTTGGGGTTTGCAGTGTAATTTTTTTTTCTGGCTTGACTGGCATAGCTAGTTTCCTCCAAAATAGCCTGCGCCACCTTCAACGTTAGCTTTTATTTGTTATAGGAGGAGAGCGGGTTATCGACTACACTGGGGGTGACAGCGGTGATAGGTACCCAGAGGGAGTAGCCAGCGACGTGGTAGGTGGTAACGGGGTTGACAATCCCCATCATCAAACCTCCCAAGAGTATATCAACGGCAATCATCCCGTGAAAGAGAAAAAGGGCGACACGCCTGTATAATATTTTTAATTTTTTTTTAACATCTCCCATAAGACTTTCTACTATTTTTAAAATAAACAGTGAAGATGATACAGAGTGTCATCTAGGAGTAGTAATACATACTTACATAATTTTTTTATTGTCATGTTACCTTACCTTTCACCCCGCCGGAACTCTCGAAAAAAAAAAAATTAACCCCGTTGCTGCCATTTCATTTTCTGACACTTTGTAATCAATCAGTAATCACCTTAATGTGTTTATATATATATGTAATATATACATATGAAATATGATAAATTTTTAATACGGTGTTGCCTGTGTGTTGTCGCTTAGGCAAATTGGAAAAATATAGATCTCACTGACTGGTTTTTTCGTCAGTAATTGTTTACCATTTCGTGAAATGGCGTGCAATTGCTGCGATTGTAATTAATTAATAAATGCGATGTTAAAAAGTAATCATGAAATTTATTATATTATATTGCTGTTGCGAGATAAAATCAAAATGTATTTATTTCTGTCACCAATCGACTACTGCAATCTTTCCCCCCTTCGAAATCGTTAAGCAGTTTTTTGTACTTAATGAATTCAATTGTAATTTAAAGATTATGACTTTTAAGTGATCACAGTAGGCAGGACATAATTAAATTTAGTTACGATGCGTCCAGCGAAAATTTGGAGACATCTTGTATACTTGTAAAAATTTAATTTTTGTTTGTGCCTTGTTTCTCATAACAATTGTTTCATTTTCTTTTATTATTTTCATGTTTAAAATTAGATATTATTGTAATTCAGTTGTTTCGTTCTTTTTTTGTTTCTTCATTTTAAGTTCGCTCAAATCAAATCAAGTAAGTCGTTATTACGATTCAATTATTTCGTTTTTCTCTACTGTTTCATTTTTTTGTTTTCAGCAAAGGTCTCTAAATTTTCGCGCAATTAATCAAATTTGTTTTTTAATTAAGGCATTCATTCTTTCGTTCGTGCTCATTTTTATTAGGATAATATAATGACATGATTATTAACTGCCATATACTATTGTGAATTTTTAAATGTAAATGTATTTAACGAATTAGGTCCTTTCTGACACTCGTTAGCGATGCCAGGATTTTTTTAAAAACGAACATTATTTTTTACCAAACGAACGAACGAACGAACGAACGACACGCTGACGGGTGTTGCAAAGTTCGAAACGCAAAAAATGAAGTAAACCCATTGTAACTGTCTATATGTATAGAAAGCACCTGAAACTTTCACTTCGATATTAATATAAAATTAAAAATAAATAAAAAAAAAAATGAGACATTCCATTTTTCGTGATAATAATCAAAGGATTCTCAAGTATTTTGTAAGTTCGTTATTGTTAACCTAAGACAATAATTAGTTTATTTTTAGTGATACTTTCGTTTAATTTTCTCTTTTTCGTTTTTTTTTGCACTCATTTTTGCCTTTTGAATAATAAAAAGAAAACAATGCACATTCCACTTTCTACATATTTATTGAGAACAAAATAAGTGAACAAATCAATTTAAATTAATAATAATTGTAATTGTATAAAATCTTTACTTATCATTATACTCCTCTGTTCACATGTAATTACGTCTTAAATCTAGCGTAAGTTGAACATTTAATTATATAAATATTGTTTTATAAATAAAGATCTTTAAATAACAACACTCTAGATTTCTTCTTTTTTGTTCTTTCCAGGAAGAAGCCGCCGAAGTGTAGCCGAATCGTGAGTACCCTCCCAAACCTTTGCCACGTGCCCTCCAAAGCCTTATTCAACACCACCTGTAACATCGAAATTTCCAAATTACCCAAATATCACATGACCTTCAACCTTAAGTCTACGCCTTACTCTCTCATCCTTACACTCGTTCATTTCCAAAATATCCACCTTATCACTTTACCAAGCACCTAAAATTCACGTTCCTGTCTTTTGGTATTATCCCTACGTCCCATTTGAATACTTACCCTCTCGCACATTTCAAAAGTTTCCCGTCACTTTTTACAGACAAGCCAATGCCGTTCCAATACACATACAGCTCTCAATAACCCTTTTAATTACTTTTTATCAACACACCACCCACCCTTCGATTAATAAATATCCAAATTTACCTTTCAATTAAAATCTTATCCTTATAAACTTGCCATTTAAGAAAATCAACTTTTGTTACAACCCCTTTCCTTTTTCTAACCATTTGCCGAATTCTTTTCCATTATCATCTCATCCTTTAAATAATCTTCCTTCTCGTACAACCCTTTTTATAAACATATAATTTAATCTACTTGTTATTTATTTCAATTTCCTTTTTTAGCTCAATTCCCTATTAGTATTGTCATTTTACCTTTTAAATAATGTTCCTGCATGTTTCAAAGTTACTTTTTAATTAAAATCGGCCACCCTTACTCTATTCCTTCTACAAAACAAACCCTTTAACAGATTCTCTTTACTTACAATCATCCTGTTCTTTATTTTCTTTTTTCTCCTTTTGGTAAATTCCATTTTACCTTTTAAATAATCTTCCTGCATGTTTCAAACTTACCTTTAATTAAAATCGTTCGCTTACAATCCTATTCCTTCTACCATTTAATATAACACGTTCCCTTGACTTACAATCACCCTATTTTCTTATTTCCGCCCTCTAAAAATTCCTTTTCGTTGGTCCTGTACATTAGTAAATACCTATAAACATATCCTTTTAATTCATTTTCCCCACACCCTCCAAAAATTCAAAATCTCAAGATAATAACTTCCTGCAACCCTTTTACTTAGTTCAATTCAAACCCACATCCTCCCAACAATTTGAATCATTTAATTCCTTTTAAAACCACTTCATTTACAACCTCCACATTCCTTTATTTACGACGAATCCCTTCCACCTACAATTCCTACACTCCTTATCTTCCAAAACCCTTTAATTCCTTTTAAAATCCTTCTATTTATATCCCTCACACTCCTCTACCAAAAAAATTCCTTCATTTACAATCCTTACACGTCCCTAACACTTCATCATCTACAATTCCTTTTAAAATCCTTCTATTTACATCCCTCACACTCCTCTACCTACGAAATTCCTTCATTTACAATCCTTACACGTCCCTAACACTTCATCATCTACAATTCCTTTTAAAATCCTTCTATTTACATCCCTCACACTCCTCTACCTACGAAATCCCTTCACTTACAATCCTCACACTTCCCTATCTACAATTCCTTCTAAAATCCCTTTATTTACATCCCTCACACTCCTCTACTTACGAAATCCCTTCACTTAACTTCCCTATCTACAATTCCTTTTAAAATCCTTTTATTTACATCCCTCACACTCCTTTATCTACGAAATCCCTTCACTTACAACCCTTACACGTCCCTAACACTTCCTTATTTACAATTCCTTTTAAAATCCTTCTATTTACATCCCTCACACTCCCTCTACCTACGAAATCCCTTCACTTACAATCCTCACACTTCCCTATCTACAATTCCTTCTAAAATCCCTTTATTTACATCCCTCACACTCCTTTATCTACGAAATCCCTTCACTTACAACCCCCACACTTCCCTTAAAAAGAAAACAATGCACATTCCACTTTCTACATATTTATTGAGAACAAAATAAGTGAACAAATCAATTTAAATTAATAATAATTGTAATTGTATAAAATCTTTACTTATCATTATACTCCTCTGTTCACATGTAATTACGTCTTAAATCTAGCGTAAGTTGAACATTTAATTATATAAATATTGTTTTATAAATAAAGATCTTTAAATAACAACACTCTAGATTTCTTCTTTTTTGTTCTTTCCAGGAAGAAGCCGCCGAAGTGTAGCCGAATCGTGAGTACCCTCCCAAACCTTTGCCACGTGCCCTCCAAAGCCTTATTCAACACCACCTGTANGTTTAAGTTAAAATAAGAAACTACAGTAAAAGAAAAGGATGATTTTCGGGTTTAAATATGAAAAGGAATAATGAATTTATGGGAAGATACTGGAAGGGTTTAAATAAAAAGGAATAATAAGGAATAATGAATGTATAGGAAGATAGAAAGGTTTAAATAAAAACGAATAATGAGTTTATGAATTTATAGGAAGTTACTGGAAGGGTTTAGATATGAAAATGAATAATCAATTTAAAGGAAGTTACTGGAAAGGTTTAAATATGAAAAGGAATCATGAATTTATGGGAAGATATTGAAAAGGTTTAAATAAACAGGAATAATGAGTTTATGAATTTGTGGGAATTTACTGGAAGGGTTTAAATATCAAAAGGATTAATGAATTTATGGGAAGATATTGGAAAGATTTAAATGAAAAGGAATAATGAATTTTTGAATTTATAGGAAGTTAGTGGAAGGGTTTAAATATGAAAAGGATTAATTAATTTGTGGGAAGATACTGGAAGGGTTTTTAAGTATTAAAAGGAATATTAAATTTGTGGTACAATACAGGAAAAGTATTTAGGGATATTTGTGGGTCTAGAAGTAATAAGGATAGTTTTTGTTATGAAAACATTTAATCTAGAGAAAGGAAGGAAACGGTGAAAGTAATTTTTATGTTAGAAAAGCTAAAAAAGGAAAAATGTAAGTATGTGTTGGAAGAAAAGAGCGTGTGGTGTATAATTACCCTTGTACTAGTTCCTGTATTGTTGTGTGTGTGTGTGTCCCTGTGTTGGATTGGTGTTGTCCTGTCTCGTTGTTGTGTATGCCCCTGTGTTTGGGTGTATTCCTGGTTTAGTTGTCCTGTGGATTAGAATTGCATTAGGGATTCTTAACTTTTTGGAAAATGTATACATAATGGGTAGTTGTGGTGTGTAGTATATCAAGGACAAAGGGAATTTTGAAATAAAAAAAGGACTAAGAAAGTAAAGGGAAAGTTCAAGGTTTATAGTCGAAAGGAAAAGATAAATTGCAAAAGAAGGGATAATTTTCAAATTTAAATATGGAGGGAGTGGAATAATGAGTTTGTCAGAAGATAAGTACTGGAAAAGTATTTAATGAAATTTTTGGATTTAAAAGTAATAAGAAAAAATGTATTTGTTATAATGGTGAAAGGAATGTTTAAAAATATTAGATAGGAAAAGGTAAAGGCAATTTTCAAGTTTAAAACGAAAAGAGAGAGAAAACGAGGAATTTTAAGAAGGTTTACAGTTAAAAAGAGAAACTAAAGTAAAAGGAAAGGGGGATTTTCGGGTTTAAATATGAAAAGGAATAATGAGTTGATGGGTTGGAAGGGTTTAAATATGAAAAGTAACAATTAATTTATGGGATGATACTGGAAGGGTTAAAATATCGAAAGGATTAATGAATTAATAGAAAGATGTTGGAAGGGATTAAATAAAAAGGAATAATTAATTTATGGGAAGATACTGGAAGGATTCAAATATCATAAGGAATAATAAATTCATGGGAAGATACTGGAAGGGTTTAAATTTGAAAAGGAATAATGAATGAATACTGGAAAAGTCTTTAGGGAAATTTGTGGGTCTAAAAGTATTAAGGAAAGTTTTTATGAAAATGTTTAATCTAGAAAAAGGAAGGAAATGGTTAAAGAATGGTATTTTGCATTTTAGTTGTGGGATGAAAAAAGAACGTGGGCTATATAATTACCCTTGTACTAGATCCTGTATCGTCGTGTGTCCCCCTGTGTTGCATCGGGGGTGTTGTCCTTTCTCGGTGCGGTGTTATATTAATTATCTCCCTTTGTTGGGTATCCCCCTGTGTCTGGTTGGTGTTGTCTTGTTTCGTTATGTATCTCTCTGTGTTGGGTTGTGTTCCCTGTCTCCCTTCACCCCCTATTGTATCCTGCCTCATAAGCGATGTGTTGTTCCTGTGGATATGAATTGTGTTAGAGATTCCCAAAATTTTTCAACGAATTTGTTAAACAATATGAAAGAAAATGAAGAAAAACATTAAGTAATTTTTCTTTTATATTTCAGTAGTGATACGGAAAGCGTCGAAGTAAGACAGCGAGAACAGAAACGAATCCTGCCAGCCCTAAAAATTCAAATTCCACCCTTGTTTAAAAAGAACAAAGAAAAAGAGGACAAGGACCAGAAAGAAAGCAGTCCACCGCCTACCGACGAAACCAAGATACCTATCGATGAGTCCGAGACTCAAACAGCTCCAGTGACTGCGACTACCACCCCCAATGACGGCAAAGAGGGTGGCCTGGTGTACGCAGAATTGGACTTGGTCAGTCAAAACCTAAGACCAGTGGTGAAAAATGAAGAAGACAAAACCGAATATGCTGAAATTGTTTACGCGCAAAAAGAGAACGAAGAAAAGATTAAATCAGATAAAGAAACTGCCCCTAAAGCTACCTCCTAAATTGTGATACGTCCTATGCCCTCCGAGGAATCATTTTTTTTAATGAAAATGACAAAGTTAAATTTGAACTATCAATGCACGTACTTAAATAAAATAGTTTAAATTTTGTTTGTAAATACGCACTGTAATTGTCTAAAACGAAATCTCAAGCAATTAATCTCTTTGTTAATTAAGATACTTTAATTAGGCTATTATTATTATTATTAGAAGTGTATTTTACATAATATGATAATTTCAGAGACTTTTGAGTGGATTTATTTGAAATTGTTGATTGTAGGCTTTCACGACCACCAGGTAAGTTGTTGTCCAGGCTTATGGGGCGTGGTGTGTTGGGTTGTTTTTCCGACGTTTCGTCCACAACAGTGGTG